GAACAAAGCTTCTAAGTTTAAATTCCCTCCTCCCTGGTAAAGCTGTTCAGGAACACAAATAGGACTTGTGTGCTGGTGTTTCCCCCAGGGTTCTGCCATCTGTCTGCAGTCTGTGACACATGTTCTGAGTGAGTTCCAAAAGAGCAGGCACATTTTTTGCTCACTGCTATGCTCCCAGCCCCTGAGAGTACCAGGCATGTTGTGAATACTCCTGGAATACATGAATGCAGTGACATTTAATGCTGAGCTCACCTATCATACTCCAAATCACTCCTCCCCCTTTTCTTACCTTAGTGAGTGCAAATGAGACCCCTCCCAATTACCCTGCCAGAAACCTGGGTGTCCTCTTTGACACTTCCTCTCTTCTCTAGCCCAAGCTAGTTCCTGAGTCTTACCGATTCTCTTCTCACAGGGTTTTGTCCTGTGTTCTCTTTACCTATCCCCAGCTATTCTGACAGCTGAATGTTCCACACTTCAGCCAGACAGATCAATATAAGATACGAGCTGGAAAGGCCTCTTTACTTCAAATGCTTCAGGGATGCCCACGCTGTCCGAACCTCTTGGGATGGCACAAGACCTGAGGTGGTTTGGTTCCAGGTGCTTCTTCAGCCTCAGCTCTGGCCCCTCTTTTCCTTGCATCCCAACCAAGTCATCCTAAACCATCACAGGGTTAGGATGATTGGTATGCAGTGGATTGTGGAGTTGAACTCAGAACAGCTGGTAAAGGAGCTTGTTGCCTCCTATAAACCCTTGATAAGGCCAGGCCTGGAGGAGGACAACTGAGGTAGTATTGAACTTCCTTCCAGTGGAGCCTTTTGTGGCAAAACTGGGTCTTCTCACCCCTACTGGATTAGAAAGGCCATTAGGGCTCTTCCACCAGGCCACATCCACAGCACCAAACCTTGCCAGCATATGGCAGCAAGGGCATCCGAGGGAACTTGGGCCATAAAACATGATGTGGACCCCTTACAAGCAATTTCACGGACACAGAGGCCCCCCAAAACTGTCAGCACATGGCAGAAGGGGAAGGATGGTGAGGATGCATGAAAGATTCAGGATGGTTATACTATATATTTTCTTTTTTGCAAGCAATTTGTTTTACTGTCCCCTCTCCACCAGGCTAGCTGCTACTCCTTATTACCGCCTGCCTACTGTTCCTCACAGATGCTGACTAGATCAGGGGCCCATTAAACAGACCCTCCTAAAGCCCCAGTGGAGCCAAGAGGCAGGTAGCGCCCTCCTGTGTTCAAAGAGGAAGAATAAAGCAATTACATTTTCAGAGCCACTTTGCATTGGAGAAGATTGATTTGTCCTTCTGATGTGTTGTTTCCATAGAAGCAGGGCTTAACCTTTTAAGTGAAGATTATAAAGCTACCTAATTCATTTAAAATTAGGCTTCAAGCACCTCAGTACTTAATGTCCAAGTGTTTCTGTGGGACTTGCTATAGCCATTGATCTGACGGCCAGACAGAACCTTAACTGCAGCGTCTGAAGACTCTCATTTCGGTAGCAATCTAATTTGTTTTATTTTTTTAAAATTAACTTCATAAGGATGTATAATTTCGGTGGAAGATCAGTAGAGTCTTAATGAATACCATTTAACTAATGAATAGCATTGACTTCACAAACACAGAAAGACTGGCACATAGCAAGACACAAGTACGTTCAATTAAAGTAATTTATTGTATTCTTCCAGAACAGACATAAAGAGCATCTTGGGAGTTGATATCACAACACAATGTTATACACCATTTTCACAAGTAGCCTTGCATTGAATTCTTTCTTAAAGAACATAGTAGTTTTAAAAAATCAGAATATTTACATATTAATAAAACATATACAGAAGATTGAGACATTATCCATAGATACGGATTTTTTTTTTTTTGCTAAGAAAGCCTATAAAAAGGATTTCTGAACAAAGTCTGAACAGTAGTCACAGTAAGTTAACACAAAACAATTTTGATTTATAAAATATGATTTTGTGGTTACAGTTTTGATACAGCAGCCTCCTAAGCTGTATTTCCAATTTGTGAATACATTGCACATATCTGTGAATTGAATATTCCCTCTCCCTCCTCAAGTACTGAAAATTCCAAGCTGTCACCCAGGCTTGGAAGGAAGTGCTTTTGAAGGTTCATGGTGCATATTTAACAGACCCACAGTTGTGAGTAAATGTTTCTACCTTTATTAGAGACATATTCTTCATAGTTTAATAGAGTGAAAGGTCACTAATTAATCTTTTCTATTCCCTTGAGAAATATTTCATTCTGGAAGGCAGAAGACAAATTTTTAAGCATATGCTGCAGAAAAACAAAAGCCCTGGTTTATCCACAGTAGTTCATCAGACCACTTGATAAAACAAAGGGACTGGTTTCATGAAAGAGATTACTGATTGGAGTGGAAAAGGCTAACTAAAAAATACAATGGAAACAATTTTTCTGACCCTTACTTTTAGCTTCAAAAGAGAAAAGAAAAAGAAAAAAGACACACATATACGAGATTAACTGTCTAGTAGACAGATTCCACAAGCCACACCTAAAACCAGTTTCTGTCAATTACAGGGATGTGTGCATCATCTTCAGCTGGTCTTGGTGGAATAATGACATCCCAGAGTGTCCCTCCTGTCTCCAGGCTTAGTTTTTTAGGGTGATACGACACCAGGACCTTGGACAGGGTAGTAAGAAAACCTGGATTCTGTGCCCCACCAGCCATTGAAGGGTTCCCTGGATCTGGGCAATCACTCACCCTCACTTTTCATTTTCCATACCTGCAAAGCTAAAGGTGGGACTAACTGTCCTCTACAGGACCTGTAAACTCCAACAGGTAGATGAAGTATGTGCCAGGGAAAGCAGGAAAGGTGTCCAACTGTCACAAAGCAAAAAAAAAAAAAAAAAAAAAAATATATATATATATATATATATATATATATATATATATATATATATATATATATATCAGTTTTAATCCCAGGATCTGGTGGATGTACAGTCAAATTTCTTTCATGCCAATATCTGGCCTTTGGATCAAGTGCCAAAGATTCAAAGCAGGAAAGAAATCCGGAGGCAAATATTTCTGTAAAACAGATACCTACATGGCAAAAATCTCTTTCAAATAAATTCAGAGTTTCTTATGTTGGTTTTATATAAAGCAGAGGGCAAGTGGACCAGGACGTGTACCAGAATATTAAGCATGTACACTTGTGACTGGTTACCACACAGTTAAAATCCTGGGTCATTCAGTTAAAGCCTTCTATTTAAATGGTTGTTATGTATCAAGTAGAACTGGCTACTTTGAGTTTTTCACCTTTTAATTAGTTATTTTGTCTCTGTGTTGACACAATTTATGTTAAAGGGTTTTCTTTCCTAAGAATGCATATATCACTTGCACTTAATTTTGCTATAAATATTTTTTTGGGGGGTGCACTGATGTCATAACTGATTTCATCTTATAAATCAAAGCTATTTTGTCTCCCAGAACAACTTTTTCTTCTAAGCTGAAGAAGGCCTAATTATTTTTGGCGTTTACAACTGCTCTCTCAGTCCTGGAAAAAAACCATTCTCCTTTATAATACAGCTAGGCAATTTATGTGAAAATAAATATGCTTCAAAACTATACATATTCACATTAAGGTTATGAATGAATAAAAAAAGGAAGAATTGCTTGCTTCTTTATGACAGACAATGAACTAACTGGATCGTATGCTGGACTTTTGAAAGGTAACAAATTAACTCTTAAAAACAATTTTTAAAAATCATATACCAAATTGGGGATTGGCTTATAAAGAAAGCATATGAAATTACTCAAACATGATAGATAAACTTCACAGAACACTCACATTTTGCAGGCACCTGAAATACTACATGGATCTTTGAGGAAATTCAAAAGAATTGAAAAGTTACATATGCTAATGACCAAGGTCACTAAAATCAAAGCTTAGGCAATGAAACCTGGTTCTGTGTCCTCCATGTTTTCTCTCCTGGTGTCAAATATATTACCTATAACAGAGACAAGACAATGAAGGGGGAGAGCTGCTTCCCTAAGTGACATTCTACCATGGCCTGACAAGTAGGGAATTGACTTTTAGGTGCTGGTGTTGTAGAGTGAAGTTGTTAAGTTTTTAGCCATGGCTTTAGTTGCGCTAAATGAGCAATTTAGAAACTTGTAATGATTATATTTTACAGGTAATTCCAAGAACATGTGTTACTATTAGAGTGTGTCTATTGTCCAGTAACAGAAAAGGGCTAAATGAAGTGTAATTTACCTGCAAAATGGAGCATCATGCAGCTAATAATGTGTATAACGATTTGTAACAAAATAAGAGAATGCTTTTTAGGTAAAATATCAAATGCTCTGGAAACAAAATTTTATGTATTGATCTCTATTCTATAAACAAAATCAATATAGAGAAAAGTCTGGTAAAAACACCTAATGATGGTTATCTGTGGGTGGAACCATTCATTTAAATTTTCTTCCTTGCACTTCTTAACAGAGAAAAATATGTAAAATAATGCCAATTTGTGACACAGATTGCTAAGCTCAGATGAACATCACTTCTTTTCAAATTCAGAAGTCCCATTTTAAGTTTTAGAAAGTACTATTTTGATTCTACTTTATACTTTTTTTTGTTTTTTAAACCCAATTGTTCCCAGGTTCTGGGGGCTTTTTCTTCCTTATCAAGAACTCTCCACATCTGTGCTGCAACATTTAGGTAAGTGCTTCTGTCACACACTAGTCTGAGGGCAGGAATTTGTCCACAGGACCCCAATGCGGTTCTGATTCCCAGCAGTTGCTCAAAAGGCTCATAGAAGCCTGGTGCGGTGGTGCACACCTGTAATCCCAGCAGCTCGGGAGGTTGAGGCAGGACGATCACAAGTTCAAAGCCAGCCTCAGTAAAAGTGAGGCACTAAGCAACTAAGTGAGACACTTTCTCTAAATTAAAACAAACAAACAAACAACAACAAACAAACAAACAAAAAACAACAGTAAAATAGGGCTGGGAATGTGGCTCAGTGGCTGAGTACTCCTGAGATCAATCCCCAGTATACCCCAAAAGGCTTATAGAACCGGGTGGAGAGGGAATAAATTATGAAAACACATTTCTCCACTACAGAATCTGTATCTGATTTTGTTAAAGCCAGACAAATAAATGGCTGCTTAACTATAGTAGGTCAAAACAAAAGTCATTTGAGCATTTGACCCTGCCCTGCCACTTCAGGTTCATAGCAACCCTAAAGGATTTCCACCTTTTCCTACTTCTTCCTAAAACACACAATTGGAAGGAAAAAAAAGATCTTAAAAAGGTAATAAGGCCATTCCTGAATCTTTAACAAGGACCTGCTGTGGCCAGATCAGGGAAATAAGATAATGAAGGTCTGTATCAGAGCCCCTTGGGGCTCCTGTGGTTCTGATCAGTGAGGCTCCACTCTGAGGATGAAGATACATGTGCAAGAAGGGGGACTCCACTGCCCCGATGTCTTGTCATGGCACATGGAAGGAGGGGTATTAGCAATAGCACTGCATTCAAAGAAGCCAACCAGACTGGGAATTTTACTCTAGAGAGGCAACCAAAGGACATGCTAGACTATCAAGATTCTTTGATTTTATTACTTCAAAATTTGAGCACCAATCTGTGACTTCTTTCCCCCTTTTCTAAAGAATGAACATTTTTATTTATCATGCTGCTTAGCAATTTGTAACCAATCTCTATTAGCAGTCTAGTATAAGACCTGCAGGTGGTTCTACTATTTTCTTCATTACAACCTCACAGCTTTGGGCAAAACTGAGAGAGGACTGAAGTAAATGAGTTTAAACTGCAGCAAATTTTGGGTACACTGATGATGAACATTCTAACTGTGAAGATTGTGAGACATTGAAATGGAATCCTAAATGGATTAGTACATCCATCATCTCTTAGGATCTTTAAGAAACATGCAGAGAAAAGCTGGCTTTGGCTTAAGTATAAGAAAGCTCTACGGTGTAAGGGCTGGGAGTCGAAGGGCCTGGGTTCTGGACAGGCCATCAACCAGCTCTTGAGACCTTGGGGAAGTCATTTAATGTTTCTGGGCCTCAGGCTTTTTTCCCTGTAAAATAAAAGGATTGGATAAAGAAGGGATTGGACTGGGTAATCTCTCAAGTTCCTTCTCATTCTCAGATTCCTTGAAAGTTTTTGTTTTATGAGGATGGTCTAGCATCCTTTGTGCTCAATTTTCTTGTCTGAAATATCTTTACCTCCATTGTCAGTTAATAGTGACGGTGTTATTTTAAGGGGCATGGTATTCAAAGAATAAAACCAAAACCCACTGTGTCATACGGCAGAGGACAAGTGGTACAGATGCCTCCAGATAGGAGACCTGGGGGTAGTAGTCACCCTGGGAGACACAATTAGAAAAGCATAGTATTCCTCCCAAGGGCCTCCTGAAATACACAATTTCATTTTTATGATTAGTGTTTCCTGCATCTACTGGGAGTGGGCTGTGCAGGTTGATAGGAATAAGGCTGATAGGAGTTGTCCTGATATTCAGGGAATGATAGATTGGGAAGGAACAACAGAGATCACATATTTCAATTCTCTTAATTCACAAATGTGGAAACACAGCCAAATGAGAAATACATTTTATATAATGACTATATATGGGAAGAACTTGATACACACAGATCCTTTTGCACCATGTAGTTCATTTCATTTATTTGTTCATTGATCTGTTGCTTAGTTACTCAATGCAGAGGAAGCAATGTATCATTTATACAGTTGGGCTTCCCTGCTGTTCTGAAGCTCACTATCACATGCCCATCCTACACCTATGGACTCTGCTTTAGTGGCCATCTTGGGATGGTGCTATCAATGAACACATGACCTCTAGGAACTCTAAAAGTTCCTACATACACTAGACATTCTGTTAGTAGTTGCTGAATTTAATTAAAAGCAGAACACTTTAAATCTAGAGGACAGAAAAATTGAGTCAGTCTTTTTCAGTCTTATGTTTTTTGGCGGGTATCTGGATTTTGTGGACAGAATCTTCAGGTACTCTTTTGAGGGCAGTAAATAAAGAATCCTGAGACTAAGTGCATGAATAAATTGTTTAACATGTAGCTCACTGATCAGACAGATACCTGTGTCCTGCCTTATAGATATGAAGTGACAAACAGGCAGGAGGCCAGAATCAGAGGCTTACTTGAGAGTCAAATAAGTAAGAATCATGTCTATGGCTTAATGCAACTGTGTGCAACAAATGCTTCAGTGCAATGTTACATTTGGCTGATCAGGTTCAAGTATTAGGAGTGTGCCACACATGCTGGATGGACTGGCTTATTCAATCATGCAATTAAAATCCAGTAGAAACTGGGTGCCCATTAAATAAAGAGCAATGATGGATTACCTCTCAAAGTCCTTTTTGGAGGAGGTGGGAGAAGACTGAGTAGTCATGGATTTGGTCACACAAAATTAGTGCTCCCTGTTCTAAAGTGAAATCTTATTTCATGTTGTGATGAGACAGAAGTCTTGACTATAGTGACTCCATTTTGTTTAGTAACTCCATTTTGTGAAACAGCCATGTCAACTAGAAAGGTCATGACTGGGCCAAGTTGTTTTTCCTTTTGTTGTGGAAACCCTCAAGAACACATAACTATCTAACTGGGCTCTGTTTGTGTAACTGGGGTAACTGGGCTCTGCTTCTGTAACTGGGGTAACTGGGCTTATTCTGATTGGCTAAGCCGGAAGGCTGCCTGACTGCAATTTCCCACTTCTGTGACTTGGCTTGCTTGCATTGGCTAAACCCCCAAATGTCCTTTTGTGTTTTTTTGGCTTACATATGAAGTCAAACTGAAGGGGGTGCACTACTCTGACCATCTCGCTTTTAGACAGTAGAGTGTTTGCCGCTGGTCAGCAATAAAAGGCTTAATTGGAATGGCAATGTGTGGTCTGAGAGTTATTTGAGGTATCGGTATGACAATATGAAAATATGTTTTAATGTCCACAAATCTGGAGAGGCAAAATGTTGTAATACTGTTATTGAGATTTGCATTTCAGAGATTTTCCTGACTATGAAACAGTGTGAGAAAAACGTAGCTATTCATGCCTTTTATATCCAATATAAAAAACATCTCTGAACCCAGGGTTTTGAGAAACTCTGAATGCCAGGGCCTGGGTCTGTTACAGAAAGCAGCTTGCCCAAGCATCTGCATCTCTAATGTTAATGCCATTTTCAATGCAAATATTTTCTTGCACTGTATTTTCCAGCAGGTGATGAAAATGTAAATGTGTTTTACCTGTTGGTGGTAGAGAAATGCCGTCCAGTCTTTCATCACCGTCAGCTACCTCTGCTGGTTACAAACATAAAACACAAATCTCATTAGTTTCAGGGAGCACATTCATTTTACTGAATACAGTAATACAATTAAAATAACTCTAGTATACATAACAGGTTTCATCCTTTCCTTTTCAGCTTCAGTTGGTTCACATTACAAATTTTAGCATCATTATTTAAATGAAAATTTTTTGATGATGATAATGTCGTAAAATCAACTTTCCCATATTTAAATTTTTAAGAATCTTATGAACCTTATTGTATCAGCCATTTTTGCTTTATTTACATGGGCTTCAACAGCCAACCAGCATCTGGGGTAGACTGTTTAAACATGTCATTGAAGGCAAAAAGGTCAGAGAATTCCTGTTATAAAACCAAACTTGCCATCCCCAGAGCCGCTCCTGCTGGGTAGCCTTAGGAAATGCAAAAAGTGAAACTTTCTTTGGAGATGCTGGAAAATTTATGTCCTCAAGCTGCCAGTCCAACTTTGGCATCTATTCATTCATGAAGAAATACACATTTCTGCAAAAGATTCTTTACTTCTATGATTTAAAATGCAAACTTGATTTAGCTCTGATATATGTTTCAATCTCCTTAGGAATTTTGCAAAGGTATCTCTTTTAGTCACGAAAAACCTTCCACTAAATTCAAAGAGAAGGGGCCCATAAGTCTCCTGATAACTGAAGGGGACTTTAGTCTCCCATTGAATGATCCCCACTGGAAGTTCCCTGCTTATAGTGCAGGTGCACCGTGAGGCTAGTCAAAGGAAGGTTGCCATTTGCATCATGATGTAATGCTGAGTTTGGGGAAGCAAAACTAATGCTGAGTTCTTCTTTTTATTGTTGTTGCTTTAAACACAATCAGGGTTTAGATACAGATAAAAATGTTCCACATTTCCCACCTCTAGTTCATCCTCTAACATCTTGTCCTCAGATGGGTACATCTGGCATTAGCAAAAGACCTGCTAGCTTGCTAGATTCATGGCAAACAGAAAACCCCAAGAAGAGAAAGAGTAGTCACAACCAGTATGGGTTGGAGTTGATTAGAAACCACTAACATGATGTTATAGATAAACATTTATTAACAAAAACAGGCAAGTTAATCAAGAGACTAAATTATTAAAATTTGTAAATAGGTTCATAGAAAAAAATGACACACTAAAAAGCCTTCAGGTTTTTTTTAAAGTTTAGTTCTTTGTGTTTTATTATTTTCTATATTAAAAACAATGAATATATGCCATTTGTATATTTAAAAGACATCATTTTATTCTTTGTGCTCGTGCGTGTATATGTGTATATGTGTGTGTGTGTGTGTGTGTGTGTGTGTGTGTGTGCTGCTGGAGATTGAACCCAGAGCCTTGTGCAGGTAAGGCAAGCACTTTACCAACTAAGCTATATCCCCAGCCCTATGTCATTTTCTTCTAATTGGTTTGAGTGAATTTGAATATGTAGATGACCTACATGGTAGAACTCTTGTTGTCAAGAATTTTTTAAAAATTATTTTAAAATAACTATAAATAATGATGAAACTATCATCATTTGTTAAATACTTTCTATTTACCGAGCTCTTACATGTAGTGTGTTACTGAACTCCTATGATATAGGTCTGTTGTTATGCTCATTTTAACACATGAGGAATCAGGGAGGTGAAGAAATTACGCAGGGTAACACAGCCAGTAAGTGACAATGAACTGGGTTAAATCTGGGTTCTTAATATCTTTGTCATTAATAGTCCAAACACAAACACATGCATCATTATGAGCTGTTGTTTTAAAAATCTTCAAATTTTAGTTCATTTTGTACTTTAGTAACTTGCAGTTTAGATTCATAATTGCTTTTCATTCAGTTACAACAAAAATTACTTTGGAGTATGCATTCTCTTCTCTTTGTAATTCAGCTATTCTTACTTTTCATAAACAGGCCTATGCAATTATTTTCTTTTGTCAGAACAGAACATAAACAACCCACGTTTATGTAAATTATTATATATAAATTAGTATAAGCTAGCTGCATGAACAGGGACAAAATGTCATGGAAGAAGGACATCACTGTATTACCTAAACTTAATTGTAACATCTGTCTGTATCAACAAGTTCACACTCTTTCTTCCCTGGTGACAATCAAGTTGTAAAATTTGGAAAAGATCGAGAAAGTCCAATAAAAATTTAATAGCAGTGACAGCTTTACTCTTGGATCTAACACAAATAATAAATTGTGATTTCAGCTCTGAGGAAGTAATCTAATGAAAATGATAAAAATCCACACCAGGAAAGGAATCATTCCAGTTATAGAAAAAAATGATTACATGTGATGAGAACCCCAAATGAATTTCTGTTTGGATTTGCATAACGACCTTTCAAATCCGTGTGGGGCACTTCTTTTTCCAGAGGCAGGGCAGACTTCCCTAAGCGGAYAGTTGATTAGCTTGCCCAGTCAGAGTTTGCACCTAATTCCAGGAATTGAGCCAAATATGATAAATAAGGTTGAAATTGGGGAATATCTATGAGACACTGTTTGTACTATCGTTTAGATGGAAAATAATCAAGACAGCGAACACAAGAGCAAGTAACATTATTGATCCAGGCCCCTTGTCCCCTGCAGGAAATCCAAGTGGCTCTAGTTTTGATTGCTGGGGTCCCACTTTTGTGCTGCTTGAGAATGATATGTAGCAGCACTTCACAGACTGGGAGACAGACTCTGTTTGGCAGGCCAGGGCTGATGTGCTATTATTGAGGTCTGGTTTGGTATGTATGTCAGGGGTGGTTTTGTCTTATGATCACCTTCCACTTCTCAATCACTAATAGAACCTGCTCTAAACATGTCATTGATATCTAGGCAGATTATCTAAACCCACCACTCAAAAACTAAAATGTCCTAAGTCAAATATCCTGATGCCTACAGAACAGGAGTGGGTGATCTTCTAAGCTTCTGAGAGAAGGAAGGGAAGAACTGGGGAACAGGCTACAGTTTGGGTCCCACTCTATGTGTGTGTGTGCTGGGGGGAAAGCAGCACTGGAAATGTGAATTATTAATAGAAATGCTGTGATAATTAAGAAATGTGTTCACTGACCAGTCTGTGGGAGGTAGGAAGGGCAATGTGGAGTCCTACTGTGCAGCCCTACTGTGTGTAGTCATGTTTGCTGGTGGGAAGATACCAGAACTTATCATTGGTCTCAGCATCTGACAAGAAGGGGGAAAAAAAGGCATGATTATTTTGGACACTGTTGGACATATACAGCTTGACAAAGGCACCAGAAGAATGACATTGAAACTTAATTTCCTACTGTCATCCTGTGGTACAGCAATGCCCTTTCTCAGTCCCTGGGAATAGCCTTCCCCAATATCTCCCTACTTTTTGTTACTTCTACCTTTAAAGGTTTCTTCTAAAAATTTCAAGCCCTTTAGGACCTGTAGTTCACTCTCTTCAGTGAGAGGCACGTGTTTTGGAACACAAAGCCCTCTCCTTCCTTTCTCAGGTAATCTCTGTAGCATGTCAATTAGTAATCTCAACAGTCCTGTTATACACAGCTCCTTCCCCTCAAGGTCCCAGAGAGCTTCAAGTATCTCTGATTGCTGCATCTGCCCTGAGCAGCCCCTGCAAAGCAGAAAGGAGACAGCCACTCACAAAGGGATCTTCTGCCTGCCTCAGGCTAGCTCAAAGCTGGTGGCATAGTTGGGACTAGAGTCTGGGAGAAGCAAAGGTGGCTGGTTCTTGGTTGGTACACTGGCCCCTTGCCTTTTCTCTGGGCTTATTGATCTTGAACTTAGGTCTCTACATTAGGACACACTTTAGGTTTCTCTTAAACTAGAAAATTATATTGTATATAATACAATATATGGGGGGGGGTCAACAATTTCCACCTTGCAAATCAATAGGAAATGAAAGTTCTTACTCAGTCAAGACGTCCAAAGTAGAATCTTGGCACACAGGCCAACTTAGTAGTTACTGGTGTGGTCAACACTCAGACTTAATACTTGGGCCATAAAATTAAGATGAGACATCCAACATGACATCATCCGTGCTAACCTGGTATTACCCACTGGGTAAACCTTCTGAGCAACTTATGTGCCTTCAACTCTAAAAGTGCTCTTTTATTTATTAATTTTTCCCTTTTCCCTTTGCACTTTGTGGTAAAACATTTAAAGTCTACTCCCTTAATGTATTGTGTGCCAATACATTTCTGTTCATTATAAATCGATTACTCAGTCTGTAGTATTTTGCTTCAGGAGCACAAAATGGACTAAGAGAACAATCTCATGTGTTTGCTAGAGATCATTTTCATATTCAAAGTCCACCTCCCAAACTGACTCATACTCTAGCCACAGGGGTTCCAAAGGCCAGATGCCATGGTGTTGGATCTGGATTTTTTTTTTTTCACCTTATATAATTGACAAAATTTGTATATTTATGATGTACATAGTTTTCTGAAATACGTATTCATTGTGGAGTGGTTAAATTGAGCTAATTAATAGGATCACTTTGCATACTTTGTGGTAAAAACATTTAAAGTCTACTCCCTTAATTTTCAAGTGTTTTATTAACAATTAACACTGTTAGTTGCCATATGGCATAACGGATCCCCTGATCTTATTCCTCCTAACTGACATTCTGTATACTTTGTCTAGTATCCCTTATTCCCCCCCAGCCCCCTGGTGACCACCATTCTAATCTTGACTTCAGTGAGTTCTACTTTTCTTAGATTCCACAGTGGGATCTTGAGATCTCTTTTCTGTGCCTGGTTTACTTAGTGCAACACCCTCCAGGCCTGCCCATGCTGATGCAAATGAAACTCCGAGACTTCCTCTTTAAGGTTGAGTAAGCAGTATTCCATTGTGTATATATATATATACTACATTTCTAAAAAATACATTGATCTACTTCTGGTGGACACTTACGTCAATTCCATATTTTGACTATTGGTGAAAATGTATCAATGAATACAGGAGTGCAGAGAGCTCATCAACATACTTTCATTGATTTTGATATATACCTTTTTTTTTGATATATATCTTTTTGAGGACCCTCCACACTGTTTTTCAAAATAGATGTATGAATGTATAAGGAATTTTTTTAAAAAAATAGAAATCTGTGGACTCCTAAAGACAACTTTTTTTTTTTTTTTTTTTTGGTGCTGGGGATTGAACCCAGGGCCTTGTACATGCGAGGGAAGCACTCTACCAATTGAGCTATATCTCCATCCTGAGACAACTATTCCTGTATGATAGGAAAAAACTGACCTCAAGGGATTTCTCATTGGTACAATGGCCCACTGTCACTTTGGGGAGCCTGAGATTTCAAATGACCAAATCTAATTGTCACAATGCAACTAATGTTCAATTTTCCTGGAAGGATAACCCCCAAATTCCCAAGCCCAAGCCCAGACTTTAAAACACACATACATTCCTTCTTCCTTGATGTGATTGATGGTTCTTATTGAAGGATTTTGGCTAATTAAAAAAAAAATCTTAAACAAGTAGGACATTTTTAATAAATCAAGCAGACCCAAACAAACAAGAATAAATAGGCAAATAGAAGAAAACCACAAAAGAGAGACCCAGTTTTATATGTGAGACACATTGGACCATAAATGAGATTAGCAATCTTTTTCCTTTGTACTTTTCAGAACAAATGGCCTGTCATAAGTTTTACTACGTAATCTTAAGGTGAGTTTCAAAATCTTGAATAAGACTTTAAGGTAGCTAACCAAAGCACATTATGTAGAGCTTTTCCTTCAAAAAAGAAATTTCCTACTAAACTGCCCTAGAGAAAAGTATTGTGCTTTACAAAGGCTAAGAATAAATACAGTACAATAAAGTACTTCCACAATTACTTTTTTACAACCAATTCATACCTGATCCTCTTTTTAACCTTCTTCTGGCCAGTTTAATTTGATCCTGTAGAATCTGTACCCAGTCTCTTGGGCCAGGAAGTTTATCCACATGGTTAGCAGTACAGTACTTTTCTGTGAAGACTGAAAGAGAATGTGAAATATACTGTTATATACTTTAACAAATAAAATATGCAGATCTGAAATAGGAATATAGCCCAAGAAGAAAATAAAAGTCTAGTTCTTTCTTTTTTGGAGATGCTGGGAACTGAACTCAGGGACTCACCTATGCTAAGAATGTGCTCTACCACTAAGCCCCCCACCAAAAGTCTATTTCTAAAGGATGTCAGTTGTGTAGTATATGCTTTCCAAATCTGAATGATAAAGATGATTATCAGCCTGCCTCTGGCTACCAATGGTGGATTGTGCTTTAAAATGAAACTGGCTGGAAATACTGAGAAATTCACATGGAAACTGCTCTTTCTACTTCTCCATCTCTCTGTGTATGTATCTCATAGGCCCAAAAGGAAATACTTCCTACTGATCCACTGGCCCCACAAACACACTGAAAGACCTTACTTTTTGCTGTCGAATCAAAATAAAATGAAAAATTACACAAAAAGATGATGTTCTCATGGTGATTCTCATTAACCCAGTCAATACTCAAAATAAATAATAATGCGGTATGTCTCAATGAAATTTTAAGACATAATCTAGACAGAAATTCCAATTTGAGTTAACTCTAGTTCTGGGTAAAGGCCTCCCTTATTAAGCCCAAAGAAACTAGGGAGAATCATCTGGCAGGACAAAAGGAAAGCAGGACAATGACCTCAGGAATGCCACRCACAGTATGTGACTGCATGTATGGGTGACATTTCTACCTCCCTCTCCAGTTCCTGAGCACTTTTCAACTTGCCTTTTCAACTGGCTCTCCATAAGGTCAACATCTAGTCTAAAGTCATATCACGCTGCCTTCTTGGTATTTAAAATATTGGTAAGTTTAATGTTTTAAAAGGTTTCTTTTAAAAAGAAATAACAGAGAAAAATATTGACAGATTCAACTACATAAAAATTGAAATTTCCATTTAATGAAAAATAAATATTTCAGTAGAATGAAAAAGTCAATTGCACTAAATATGGCTGAAAACATTCATTATCTACCACCATCTAAAGAGCACATTCAAATAAAAAGTCCCCATAAAAAAATGGACAGAGTTATCTGCAGCATACTCAGACATGTATAAAATATTAGAAAAAAATGTTAAACTAATACTTAAATCAAAGAACATACTTCTTAGGAGATAATTTAAGGAAGAGAAAAAGCCATGTATGCAATCTCATATGTAAGCAATCCAATTGTATGAGGGTGGCCACAGGAAGGAGGGGATCCCCTCAGGAGGCTATTATAATTGTAGAAGTGACTACAGTTGCCAGAGCAAGTCAGGTATCTAGGGCAGAGGACTGGAGTTTTTTCGTGTATCATATGATATAATAAATATAGAAGAAAGGGAAGACTTGTGAGGGTGGGGAGTGTTTTTGGACCACCCATGTGGAGATGGCCAGCAGATGTGGACAGAGAAGCCTACACTGCAGGAAAAGGGCTGGCCTGAACACACTGGTCTGAAAGGCACAAACAGGCAGTTGTGTCTGGGTACCCCCAGGCATTGATTCCAGGACCCTTGAGGATGCCCAAATCCTGGATTGCTCAAGTACCTTATAGAAAATGGCGTAGTGTTTATATATAACCTATGTACATCCTCATGCATACTTTAAATAGCCTGTGGATTGCTCATTATTCCTAATACAAGGTAAACACTATGTAAGTTATACTGTATTGTTCAGGGAATAACAAGAAAAATGTCTGTGCATGTTTCATACAGATGTGGTTTGTTTCTTTCTTCTTYTTTTTTTTTTTGTCCTCAGTATTAAATCTGGGGCCTTGTGCATGTTAAGCATGCACTGAACCACTGAACTATACCTCCAGTCACCGAGTTGTATGGAATTTGGGATTTGGTTTGCTTTTGTTGTTGTTTGTTTTGTGGTGCTGGGTTTTTTTCTGAATATTTTTAATCATTGGCGGTGAACCCAATGACACATAGGTCTGACTATGTATGTGGTAGTTAATGAGAGAAAACCAATAACCAATCCCCGAGAACATACAGAGTAAGAAGCCCACCATGCCAGGCACAGAACTACGGACAACACCAGTGCTTAGAAGGAGAAGATAGGAGGGAGCTGTTATCTGAACCCAGAACAAGTGGAAGACAGCGGCCAATTCAGAAGTGGTTCCAGACTGGAGTGATGGATCCTGTGATTCAGCGAACTCAGCAGTGAAAAAGCTCTATCAGGGTGCAGAGTGTGGGGATCCCCGCACCCCGTAGTGGGGATTGAACTCAGAAGCAGTCAATCACTGAGTCACATCCCCAGCCCTATTTTGTATTTTATATAGAGACAGGGTATCACTGAGTTGCTTAGTATCTCACCATTGCTGGGGATGGCTTTGAATTCATGATCCTCCAGCCTCAGCCTACCAGCCACTAGGATTACAGGTGAGTGTGGGAATGTTTGGAGCTATCTCTGAGGAGAACTGGAAAATGGTAGAGTGAGGACAAACAGAAAGGCTGCCAAGCCACAGATGGGGTGACAAGTCTACACAGGTGAGGCGCTGTCTCCATCAGCACTTTGCAGCTCCCATCTAGGACAATGGATGATAGGACTGGCCTAGGGGCAGGAGTTTGCCAGATACTTTTGGCAGAATCGGGTTCAATCCCCAGTATCAAAGAATCAAAATAAAAAAATCAAATAAAATAGCAGTGGCATGCAGCTGTGGAGAGGATGCTAAGGTGTGCTCAATAGTGTGGGCTGAAAGGCAGAAGAGGCCAAAGGGATCAGAGATGAAGGCCAGACACCATGTGGCCAGTGGGTCAGATGGATCTTTGTGTGGCTGATAGAAGAAGATTCTATCCCAGCTCACTTGAGTAGAGGGGGAGTTATGATTAGGATGCAGAACTAAGGAGCAGGAAAACATCAACCAGGCTGCCCAGTGTCAGTTATGTGGGACTTAGGAGAGTAAGCAGCCTCCACCTGGGAGAGAACAGAGGAAAACGATACCCTGGGTGGTAGGTGTGCACTTTTAAATTTACACCAGGTTGTAAATGACGTTTCTTTTTCTCCTTCAAAGCACCTAGTGCCTTGCACTGAAGAAACTCAAGATGCATGTGATGAATAGGCAAACATATTTTTCAGTTTTGTTTCTAATAAAAGCAAAAACAGTAGCTCACAAATTTAGATTAAGTGGGGAAAAATTACTAGGAAGCTTTAATTAACAGAATATTTTGAAAGAAAGAAGGTTTTTTAATTACACACACATGCCCAAAGTTTATTAGAGAATCGCCAAATGATGTCATTGAAGTTCTGTTTTAATAAATGGAAAAATATATTTGTTACTTAGTACCCTATTTGCTTATATGAAAATATATACTACAAAAATTATTGAATATACTGTCTTTGCAGGGAAACATCTTCCCACTTGTAGTATTATTTATATAATTAATTTCCATAGCAACCTCTCTTTTCTTAGATAGTGAAATGCATGTGTCCAAATTATCACATATTAAAAACTAGTGGTTCCAAAATAACAAAGTAGATTTAGGCTGTGCCAATATCAAAATGACTCCTGGGCATGTCAATAACCAAGTTCAGGAGAGCCAAAGGGAAGGCTGTGGAATGTTTTGTTCAACTCTGGGAGGAGCTTCAAGTCAGACCTTTCCAATATAACCTTGAGTTCAAGTACTCTGTCATTCATTTTTAAGGCAACACTTTCTGCTTATTTTTTTCTCCTTTCAGTTAAAAGCAATTTGGTTTCAAAAGAAAGAATCCAGGAAAATTGCTGTCTCCTGGGTTTGTGACTGAGACCTTTGAAGACAGAGTGCCAGACTTCTCAAAAAATACCTATACAATAAATATTTCCATTAGGCATATATTGACATTCTAGTTCATGGATTAATCCAAACTTAAAAGAGACTTTTAACTAGAATTTACCTAATGAAGAGAAAATCCTATTCTTTTCACTACAATAGCAGATGAGGCCTAGAACAGGCCAAAAGATGATTGTTGCACTGATGTGAAAATAGTCAAAATGCCATGTGAATAGAGGTAAGGAGTATGCAGAATATATTTTTGCTATCTGAATCTATAGCTAAAGGTCAAGCTATTATCCTGGTAACAGTTCCATTAGGAGTAATGATGTGAAAAGAGGTATTGCATTAATGCACTGGGTTTCCTACTATGTTAATAGTGGGTCATTAAGAATCATAGTAGGATAATTTGCATTCATCTTTAGAATGCAATAGGTTCTAAAAAGAAACTTCCCCCCTTACCTATTTTAATATATTAAACAGAAGTGAGGGACTAATTTTAAACAAGTTCAAATAATCCGAACAAGTGGAATGAGGCCAACAATTAAACTAAATAAGAGTATAAGCATCCACTCTGCTTAATAATTTGAGGTCCCAAGGCACAGAGAGTATGTTAAGTCACCAGGGAGATGACAAATGCTTGAGTTGATCCGTACTTGAGTAATGACTTTCCCGGATGCTTGCATTCATTTGAACCATGCCCTTTAATTGTTTATAAATAATGAATAAGCTTGTGGCGGCTGAGCAGATCCTTCCCAGGAATGTGGCTTTTAATATAATCATCAATGAATGTGGTGCTGGGTAACGTGTCTAACATGTGGAATCTGCCACCCGCAAACAGAGTGGACAGGCCATGTCCCCCAACTGCTCTCTGTCCGAAGGACTTCATTTGGAGTGTTTCTGCCTTATCTGTGCTGGGAAAAAAAGCAGGGTAGGATATGGAGTTTTAAAGGACATCCTGGTGTCATACAGACAATTGAAGGAGCAGAAGTAGGCTTGCATATCTTTAATTTCACTGTGAAACCCTTTGGGAACTCTGGCCAGCAGGGACAGGTCACGCCTGGGTATGATGGCTCAAGTGTAACTTGTGATCAGACAGACAAGTGGGACTAAAGTCTTATAACAAGCAAAATTGAAAGCCACATCCTCATCATATTTGCCAAACTCTGAGGGCCCTGTGAGGGGCAGCAGCCTCATACTAGGGTCCCAGGTGACAAGCAGAGCAAC